TCCTTTGCTTATATCTCACATCCATGACCCTGCTTTATAACCAACCACAAAACGCCTCATCACATCCTCCACACCTCATTTCAATGTATTTATGAATGGACTCACACAGAAGTTCAATGCTACCAGAGCTCGAGTTCATGCTGCAGTGACCTCCTCCCCCCTTTGTATCATTAGTTTAATGTTGCTTGTCTTGTCGCTTGATTTTTTTGCACAAAATTCTTTCTCTGGACCTATTCAGTGTCCCGGTACAGCCTGGGCCACCAGCCTTGTGGGAGCTTGCTTGGTGAAGGGTGAAGGGTGAAGGGTGAAGCTTCTGGAGTGAAAAAAATGCAGTGCTTACAAGTCACCTGTGTCAAACAGGGCAAGAAGTCCTTGTCAGGAAGAGGACAAGACAAATGCCCACATTTCTTCCTGAAACCCACCCAGAGTCCTCCCTCTGTCAGATAGCACCTACTCCAGGCTCTCCTTGTTTCCCTTCCCTACTTGAATTTAAACAAACAAGCTCTGTCCTTACGCTCTTTGGCTGCTGCTCCAGAACAAGTCGTGGATAAAAAGCAATGCCCGGACTGACTGATGTGTGCTGACCTGCTCAGAGAGCCACAGCCCTCTTTGCCCTCGTAACAGCACGGATGCAAGGCATGGGCAGTCATCATAAAAAGACTCCCAAAATGGGAGATGTTTTTAGCACCTTGATTTTGCTTTGGCCTCTGGTTGTGTTGGACCCCAGGTGTACAGCCTGTGCTGTTTCATGAGATGTAAGCCAACACCTCGCTCTACCACATAAGCACCAACACAGGACCCTGGGCTCTCTTGGTTTCTGGATGCAGGGAGCACGGCTGAGGACTGGGACAGGTTTTAATCCAAATCCTACCTGGGCTACCCACAGATAATCAAGACGTCGTCTCCGTGTGCCTTCCCGACCACCGACAAACATGCTTCCTCACCTCTCTGGGCTCCTTTCAGAGCACTGCAGAATGGCATCATCACCAAAAGGAGCCAAAGTGACCCAGATGGGTGGGTAGCTCTCCACAGGTACTCCAAACCAGGAGTAGGAGGCAGTAAAATCATGAAGGATCATGGAGAAACTCTTGTGCCTTGCGAGGCGAGGACTGACATGTGGCAGCTTCCTCGCCTCCCACTGCCACCTGGATGGAGGCACTGTGGCTCTGCGACCAGAGGGTGGATGTGCAATGGTGGCAGCAGCAGCAAGGAGGGCCACGGAGGCTGGAAAGAGGGCGGATGGAAAGCCAGGGAGGCAGCAGGTCTGGTGGCTCTGAGAGCTGGGGGATGAGGAGGTAGGGAATGGCTGTAGCTCCAGGCAAGAATGATTTTCACTTCTCTGGTGACTTCAGCAGGCTCAGGACCCAAAGTGGCCACAGAGCATCAACAGGGGCCAGCCTCGCGTGGACACAAGTGCCTGCCAGCCCTGATCCTCCTGGCACTGCAGCTCGTGCTGTGATAGAGGTAACACCTCAGCGTCTGTGAGTGTCCAGTGGCAAAAACTAGGCTACAGCCGAGGAACAACAGGTCATGAGAGCCCCTAGCCAAATCTGCCCAGCCGTGCCGGCCTAAGTTTTGTACCAAACGTTCTGAGCTTTAACACATGTTAGCATCACTTCTTTCTAATAGCTTTCCCTCGTGTTTCTTCTCTTCCAGCACTGAATGTCTGATTCAGTCATGCATTAACCTTTGTGTCTGATTCCTGATCTGCTGTTAAAATCTATGTTAATTCCTTAGAATCTCACAATTTTTTCCCCAAGCAAATTCTGAGCAGTTCTGGGATTCCTGTACCCACAGACACAGTAGGTAGCTAACGTGGTCTGCTCTCCAACAGCTCAGGCTGCATGAAAGCTCTAATTAACACCTCATCAAACTCAACTGTTGGTTGTGTCTGGAGAAATTCCCTCTAGCACCTGTGCATTCATGAGACACCGTTTCTAGCCTCCTGCACAGCAGGCCCCAGCCACCGGAGCAATGCTCCATCACTGCAGAGCCCGTCCTTACACCAGCAGTAGCGGTCCTGGTCCAGTCTCCAGGACTTGCCAGCCCAGAGTGACACCAATACGCTCTGTGGCTGCTCAGAGCCACTGCACCATGTGGGGTGATGCAAGAGCTCAGGAGCGATAACTCAGCAGTGATGGGTGTGTAAAGCCTGTGCCGCTGAGTTTCAGGCAGGGCTCTCCTCCCCTTGCCATATCCTACCTCCATCATCAGCAAATGCACAGGTTTCACCCCGCACAGCTCAGCATCACCTGCCTAAGGACAGCCTTTGCGGTGGGACAGCACGCACACGCCCCTGCATGCTGCAAACCTTCAGGTGCCGGATTTGCCCTCGTCACCTAGCCCATCTAGCAGACCCCAGAGAAAGGTGGCACCCCAGAAGGGGCTCAGTCCCACCCTGTCCTGGAGGACAGGCCCTAGGATTGGGTCAGGATGGCCCTGGAGGCGTCCAGCTCCCACTGAGACAGGGAGAGCCTGGTGTGCAGCAGAGTGCAACACCCAATTCCTGTCGACACTACCATTATTGCAGGACAAGGTTTGAATGTAAAAAGTAAGTTTAGCTTGGTTGCTTGACAGAATATTTAAACAGTAGACTGCAATGTTTGGAACACAGAGCGTGCAACAGGAAAATGTAATTTTAGGTAATACTTCACAACGAGACTATTCTGAGTGTTTCAGCACCTCAGGTAATTCTAGAGGCTTTCCCTGGAGAACATCTAACTCCAGCTTCTGCTGTCGGAGCTCACACTCCCTGGCCCTCTCTGAGCTCTCCTTTCCCACTTCAGCTCAATTCCATTAATTGCCCCCCCCCTCAAAATCTGCTTCCTCACTTTGTGTAAGAGGGCACTGCTTGCCTGGCAGACTAACGGACCCATCGGGGGTGCCCCTTCTCTCCCCTCCAGACTTACTTAACACTTGAGTCATAATCTTCCACTTGACTTCCTATCTGGTTGACTTCTGCTGCTTATCACATTTTTTAAAATAAGAGCAAAATGTTGCAGATTTCACATCATCATCATATTTACCGCACACACTTTATTTGCTCTGGAGCCTTCACCCTACTGCAAGCACTACGTAGACCACTCGTGGTGGTCTAGCAAGGCAGACAAGCAGGATTGCTGTTGCCTAAATTCCTTCTCCTCTCTCCTGCTCGCTGGCTGTGACGGCCCCAGGCGCACGCTGAGCCACGTCCCATTGACCAGTTCTGCGATGCTCCTGCAGAAGGCAGAGCTCTCGGTAGCACTAACCCAGAGTACTGAAGAGACCTCAGGGAGCTGCTGGGAATAAAGCTCGTGCTGTCAAGCAGCTTAGGCGCTGGGATTTATTTGTTTGTCCTTTTGCAACTCCATTTCCAAATACTGCAAATGAGCGTTTAGCCCTTTGTCTTTGTGTAATCAGACTTGTTCCTCCTCTTTGTGCCCTGCCTGGTTATAATGGGGTCTTTCTGTGGAAAGGCAAGCAGCTCTTGTCTCCCAGGACCCCGTGGGCTGTAAGGCCACGCAGGCACGTGCCGCTCACCATGAGCTGCAGGCACCAGGGCTTGGAGTGCAGCAGATGAGGTTTCTCCATGGGGGAGAGAAACCACTTCAAGCGCCCGTGGGCCAGCGTCACCCTGGCAGGTAGGGGTGGCAGCAGAGAAACAGCATATATGCTGTAGCTATAGCTTGGAGAGCTATAGCTTGGAGAGCAGGCATGCTTGTTGCAGAGCTTTCAGATCAACGTGGGAGTCTGGAGAACCCCCACCATCCCGTCACCAGGGCTGCTCATACCCTCGCTCTTACCATCAGCCCCTTTCATGCCAGGTGGTGTTTCGGCCACCCTCTCCATCAGGCTGTACGCCACAGCCTTGCTCCCGGGGTCGCTGTCAGTCAGAGCGCGGCTCCAGCAACGCAGAGCTGCCAGACCACCCTGGCCGTGCGACTCAGCTCTTCCG